TGTGTTGACGAAGACTGAATATTGAGAATTCCCCATCAGTCCAGAGGGAGGATTGCACAAGTGTGTGTGTGTGTGTCGCATGGCCTCCATGTTGCTCAGTCTCCGAGTTGTTGTAGCCTATCTGACAAGGCGATGGGAGGGCGAACGAAAGCCCGAGTGAAGACGCCATCGCCTGACCGACCGCTCAAAGTTCAGAAGGCTACAGCTACGTACATGCTCGGTAGACGAGTGCATCTGACTCCCTGGAGAGGCCATTGGCATCGGGCGACGGAACAAGGCTATGGATCCGCAGCATGCCTGCCTCCCTACCTCACTGCCTCACGTCCACCTCCTGGCTTGACAGGGTGATGAGTTCACCAAGCCTGCGCCAAACGGAGCTGGCAAGGCGAAAGCCAAGGCCGCGCGCCCAAATGCCAAAAAGCTGTTTTCTGGCTTGGCTGCCACAAAGGCCAAGGCGAAGGTGGCCATTGCATCAGATTCGGAAGAGTCTGCGAAATCCTGACCAGTGAGCCGCAAAAATGCAAGCGGCACATGCCACTGTTTCAACACAGCACAGTACAGACTAGAAGACCATACATCAAGCTTGGTGTGGCTGCCGAGTGCTAAGTGCGGAATGCTAACGTGATTACTGCAGGGGCCAAAGCAACTTGCTGACAAATTGAGATGACAGCGATTCTTAGGCTTGCAAGCTGTTGATGTAGCGTATGAGTTATTTGGCCCTTGGGCGCATGCTCTGGTGCCTCATGCGCACCAGTGCATACATCCTGGCAAAGGTGAGCATGACGCAGCTACGAAATTGCACAAGCACCCATTGTCCGGTGACAAATACCGCATCGTAGGAAAGTGCAATATCTTAGCTGCAACTTGCGCTCCTGACAATCAGAGCCAAAAGTCAATGGAGAAGAGATCGGGGGTCAGTTGGACAACTTGAATTGGAGCGCTGGGGAGTCCCGAGCGGCTAGGTCCGCTGCAAGCCTTCGCTCTGAGCCGAGCTCCACGCAGGCCATACTTTGCATAATACGAGACATAATACGGCAGAGGTGTCCAACTGAACTTTTGAGTTTCCAAGTGTTCGCAGTGCCTGCTGCTCTCCAGGTTTCTCGAGCGCAGACTCCACAACTGGATGCGGCGCCTGCATGGAGGTGGCTGATCGTTTCGGTTGGCATGGGCAGACGACATCCTCGCATCTCAGGCGACCTGGCACTTCTGGGGGTGCGTCAGGTGCCTCCGCATCACGTAGCCGCGCCTTGCAAGGATGAGTGAGACATTGAGGTGTTTGTGTGATGACGCCATGAAGCCCAGGTCCCCAGTCACAGGGTTCAATCAGGCCAGAGCAATCACCAGAGTCCGAAGCTCAATTTGCTGTTTGGTTGGAGGTTTTGCATCTCTTGCTGCAAAGGTTTGTTTTCAGCAGCTTCGGGTACAAAGCAGCAGAGCCACGCAGTGTTTCAAAGCTCTCCAAGAGCTCGAAGAGCCAGGGCCCCAGCGGTGCTGCCACAATGTCCGAAAGCAGCTTGACCCTGGATTCATGGTCAGGTTAGTATCTATAAGTTGGACATGGCTGTTCCTTGAGCTTTGAATTCCGGGTTCTGTAGGAGGATTGGCGAGGCTACAATATGGAGCATGCGCTTCGAGTGACCCTGAAGATTAAAGGCGAATGCGTACCTGCAAGCCTAAGCGTTTGTGGCTCAAGCGAGAAAATGTTTTCTCGCGTGGGGGCCCAGATACTTGGACCGAGCCGCTTCGCGAGGCAGGAGTGCGTGGATATGTGTATGTAGGTAGGCGGGTTCATCGTCAGATGCTTCCTGCTCTCAGCCAGCTGTTTGATCATGGACTTGCCGTGCCCTAACGCCTTCATGTCCTGGGAGGCTGAGGAGCAGGATGCGCTGGTCCAAGAAGTCGCGTGAAGATGAGCTCGAGGTCGTGCCCGTTACGATGGGAAACACATCGGAGCAAGAGGCCAGAAGATAAGAGCAACGTACTGCAAACAAAACTAAGTCAAGCCTGCGAGCGCTGTAGCTACTACTGACTTGGTACACCTCGAAAAGAAACCTTTCTGTTCATGAGGTCAGCTTTCCTAACCAGGCTAATCTAGGTCATGGCATGGGTACCCCCTCGAATAGGCGGATAGGGGGGGTACGTCACGCTGGGCGCCGCCTATTTTCCCTGAGACCAGCCGCCTATTTTACTAGGGTGGGGTGGGGTAGGAAAAAATAGGCGGGAAATCTCAGTTCAGCATGGAAGATTTGCTGCAAGCGCTGTCCGAAGCGTGGTCCAGGGATCCCCAGCATTCATGCATCATGGAAATAGGCGGGCGCCTATTTCAGGGACCCCCCACCCACCCCACCCCTCGAAGGGTACTCATTCATGGCTGACCAGGACCTTTTGGAGAAGGGCTCGCAGTTGGGCGAGTTGCAAGACATCCAGCCAAAGGGCACAGTCCTAGGAGCTTCACTGCACGGTGCTGTGGCGCTACGGTCACTGGTTTAAGCTCTTTCTAGGTCATATGCTCTTTATCCGTTGATGCCAGGAGCTGCGCTGATGCTGGCTGGCATGTTCTTCCGCGATTCCGCCATGGGTCGGCGGGCCATAGGCTTGAGCGTGGCTGTGCTTCCCAGCTGATCAAAATACGAGACGGGAGGGGGAAGATCACAGGCCAACATGAGTCCAAGCTGCTAGGTTTGTGCTGCTGCTACTGGAGATTGGTGCCGTGCTGTACTACAGCAGCGTGCAAAAGGAGTACATGACTGCACTGCAAGAGAAGAACATCGATGCATTCTACCATGGACTATGGATGGTTGGGGCAGTCATAGTCTTCATCAGTCCTATCATCGCTCTTCATGAGTATACCTCAGGCGTTTGGCCTCAACTGGTTTGAGAGAGAGTCTTGTGTCCAACGTGGCGGGCAGTGTACAGCCAAGGCATGCTGAAGATGACGTGGCGCTCATCATTGACCCGGCGTTTTGCTGGACTGTATCTTGCAGCTCCCGGCTATAGCGAGGGCAACCCGTTCTACCGACTTACCCTGACTGGGGAGATCGACAACCCTGACCAGCGCATTTGCCAGGCACGGCTCTGTGCAGCTGGCAGACGTGGTGCTAGGCGGATTGATCTTGAGAGATGTGCAGGATGTGCACGAGTTTGTTGGCATTGCAGTTCACCTGGCGCAGGACATAGTAAGGACCGGGCTCAACCAGTATCTGATATCTGCCATTCAAGGCTTTTAGAATCAGCTCCCTCTGCACCGCAGCGCTTCTGCAGGACATTCCTGAACATTGTCAGCTTCGCAGCCATCCTGTATGCAATTTCTCCCGCAGCCTGCTACGGTGTGCTGGTCTATGCCATTGGAGGCACGTTGGTTGCTACGAAGGGCTTTGGGCCATGGCTGGGATTCTACCAGCTGCAGCGGGTGAAGCAGGAAGCTGGCTTACGCCAGGGGCTTAGAACAGAGAGCCAGCCTGGGACCTCAGGCCACGGCTAGCTTAGTTAAGGCTTAGCTGAGGCTTAGGTGGTTTCCAGGACTTTGAAGTCACACCTGCCCCCAGGCTATGATTTGATCCGAGTGCGGGAAAACGCAGAGTCTGTCGCTTTCTTTGAAGGTGGTGAAGCCGAGTGGTCCAAATTCAACACTTTGTTCTCCGGTCTGCTTCAGACCGTGTACAAGAGCATTTTGGTCACCTCCGGCTTTGGAATGTTCAACCGTTCCTTCCATTGGGCCACCTTTGCAGTTGCGCCACTTCTCGTCGGCCCCGCATACTTGCGTGGTGAAGTGCAGTTTGGTGTCATCTCACAGGCCAGTATGGCCTTCAATATAATTCTGGGTGCCATGACTCTGATCATGGACAAGTTGGAGTCTTTGACCGATGTTGCTGTTCGAGTACGTCGACTGGAAGACTTGGAGCTGTCCTTGCGAAAGTGCCAGAATGAGACGCAGATGGCCCGCATGCCTGGACTGGCAGGTGTGAAATGCATTGCAAGTGCGGAACCTTCCCCGAACGACCCAGCCATGCTGCGCTTCAGTGAGGTCACGCTGAGAACTCCTCCTCGGCAAGGCATCTTGCAGCAAACCCTGTGCCACAATCTCTCGTTTGAGCTAGTCGGCAGCCAGTCCCTGCTCATCGTTGGTGAGAGCGGCATTGGAAAGAGTTCCTTGCTACGTGCTGCAGCTGGCCTGTGGACGGATGGTCAAGGCACACTTCAGCTCTGCAAACGAGAGCAGGTCTTCTTCATGCCCCAGAAGCCGTACATGTTTTTGGGCTCGTTGCGGGACCAGCTTTTGTACCCACACGTGGACGAGAGCTTCATTCAGGACGCAGAATTAGAAAAGGCTCTCAAACAGGTGAACCTTGGTCACCTGTTGGAACAGCACAGCCTGTCAGAGTCGAAAGAATGGACCAGCTTGCTGTCACTAGGACAGCAGCAGCGCATCAACTTTGCTCGGGTCCTACTGCGTCCGGACATGAAGATGGCCTTAATAGACGAGGGAACCTCTGCCTGTGACCCTGCGAATGAAGCATTGCTGTACGAACTGCTTGGACAGCGGCTTTGCAGCTATGTTTCTATCGGTCACAGACCGGCGCTGCAACAGTTCCATAGCCACGTACTTTGGCTTCACAAGCCTCCCCCAGGCTGTGCCGCTTCCGCATGTGCTCCAAGTGCTACTGAGCCGACGGAGATCGAATTCATGCCAATGGCAGAGTTCCAGCAAAGGAATCCGGCACTGGCGTACAGGGAGTGACAAGGACTTCTGCAGGGTTCTGTATAGAACAAGGCGGCAGCAATGACAGCTGCCAGTCCTTCCCTAGGGCGCTCATCGAAGCGCGAGTCGCCCCACTTTCACCCCGCGGTCTTAGGATTCAAGGATTTTTCTGATGTTTTTTAGATCCTTTTAGATCTGACACGCCCTGACCTTACATAGCCTTACGCGTGTTAATAGCATGGCGGTGCCCACACTCGGAGATGGCACTTCCTTCACTATTGCCCAGTAATTCCTGGTACAGTTGCAGGAGCCAAGGAAGCTCATGTGAGTCTAGGTCTCTAGGATGCAGATGTTTCAGCTTTCGGCGCACAGGGACAACTGTGCATGCCCTTCGTGATTCGAAAAAGTGTCATGTCTATGCCTGATTCGGGCGGATACGGAGGATGTGTGCTCCCCATCAGGCTGTTGATCGGCAGGAAATGCTGTTGCGATGCTGCACCCGGTTCGCAGGGTCCGTGCCCAGCAACGCATCGTCACCAGAACGAACGCCACAAGCTGAGAGTTAGTTGGGCCAAATGGGTCGCGCTGGATTTGCGTTGTCTTTCCGAGGGCATCTGAAGCGGTGCGCACCCTCAGAAACTAGGAGTTGGCTTCCTCGCAGTCTCTGAAGATCGATTGAACGCCCCGGCGTCGCTCTCTGGCTCACTGCTTCGGCTTGCTGCAGAAGATGATGAGAGATGATGATCAATGTTCCAAGGGTTCTTTTTTAATCAGGCTAGCAGCTAGCACAACCGGCACACTGTCTGGAGGCCAGCAAGCGCAGGCTGGAACATGTATGTAGCCGAAAGCGTGCAGAGAAGCAGAGCCACGGCTCAACTGAAGGAGCCAGAGTTGATAGCCTTTCATTTTAACCCCATTCTCAAGCAAAGCACCACGAAGTCAAAAACTTCCGCTGTCAAGTGCCATGTGGGCACGCCGCATCGGTGCGCCAGCACGATGTCCGTCGCAAACCAGAGTCCTCTGGCGATATCATTTGCGTGGCATCTCCACCTCTTTGGAAGGAGGCCGTGGCAATGGCAGTCTTTTGTTGCTGCACCTGAGGTCATTGTGCAGAGCATGATGAATGGAGCTCTGACTTTGTTTAGAGGGGTTTGGGACTCCAAGCCACTTGCTCCTTAAACATGATGGGCAAATAAATGATGAATGAACATTGCCAAGCAGCTGAGCAGTCTACAGTCTGGAATGGCAAAGCGGCTCTCCCAAGCAAGCCGGCTTGCCCATGCCAATGCTAAGGAGCGATCGGGCTGGTTGTCTATCAGTATATGGCCTCTTTGCTTGAAGTGTCAGGTGTCCTTGGCAGCCCACGGAAAACAAAGCTGAGGACAGCCTGTCAGCGGGTAATTTGGATTACACGTTGGAGAGTGTCTTAGCAGCAGGATAATCAGCACCAGCAGGGGTAAACTTCCAATTGAAGTAGTGGCCCTTCTTACCTTGGTTCTGTCGCAGCAACCCTTCTTTGTAGTGAAAGATTTGGATCTGCAGCTCCTGAAGAGCTAGGTGTTGGCAAGTCGAACCTTACCTGCCTCACGGGCTGGCTCCGCCGCAATGAGCTGACATCCTGGCAGCTCGACAAACATCTCGAGCCGAGTGCTCGCAATATTTTTCAGTGTCACTTCGACCTGAGGACGCAGTATGAGACGTGGAGCCGATGGTGGGAGCAACTGAGCCCTTATAACCTGATAGTTCTTTTTGATGCAAGCAGCTGTTTGCAAACGGCTCCGTTGGCTTTAGGCTTGAACTCTCTTCGCTTTTGTAGATGGCGGCAAGCAGACGCTGGCCTGAGGTATCAAAACGGTGTCGACTATTATGTACTCAACAACACATGCGCCCCATTCCCAAGCAGCGCGTTGGACCAAAGTTGCAAAGACATGCGTGCTCAGGCTGCAGCAGCACCAACAGTTCACAGCGCTTATGGTGCTTTTCGCAGTTAGAGCGCCCATCTAAGGCGTTCCTGTCCATGAATTTGATAATCGGCTTGGCTACCCACTGGGCCTTGGAGAGCAGGTCAGCGTCAACAACGAAATTTTGCAGCTCAGATTCAATCTTCCTGGGCTGTTCTTGTACAATGCCCAGCCTTTCCATGAAATCTGCTTGTGGCTGTTCAGGTATGCCTTCGCATATACCTTCCTAGTTCTGGGGCAGCTTGCTTGAACCTATGGAACACCCTGTGCAATGGTCAGTGTTGGCTGCGGTCTTCTCTGCAGGGCTTGCGAGTACGTCAGTAGCCCGGGTTTTGGGGTTCACTGTTGACTGCTTACACCTTGGCAGTTGACCCACCTGTTGTACAATGTACATAAGTATAGGGAGCAAAGACAGTAATGGCCAAGACAACAAGGACTCGGTTGTTGGCGCTACATGTAAGCTAGGGCTTTCTGCCAAGGATCCTTAACTTGATCGGTTTTGCTGTGCACGATCTCACCCTCCTATCCAGGACTGGACTGAATTGCTCATGTTGTTGTTGTCTGCTGGCTGTGAGTTCATGACGTCATGTGACTCATGCGCTGTTCATAGACAACACCCTGGCAGACGTCAGCAGAATTATGTCCTGGACTGGCCAGCCTTCAACGAAGGCCCCCAGCTCGGCTGGCCTTTGCTCAGGGCCTTGCTCTCTTGCGCAAGGCTTTCCAATTTTTCGCCGGTTCACGAGACTGTCAGGCCAGGTCGGCTTTGAAGGCCTTGCTTTTGACCAGTGCTTGCTTGTGTTCTGCACAGGCATCACCATACTTCGAACACTCTTCTCTATAGAGGGCACCGGCAGCAAGCTAGCAAAGCTAATAGGCATCATTCTGCCCCTTGGCTTCCGAAGAGCCCCAGCAAGGTGCGCTCAATCAGCTGGAAAAGGTAGCTGTTGATCGACCAAGGACCCCAATCATTACAGCCTGGGCGCTCGTGTTTCTGATCTTCATCGTGACTCCTCTCCTGCTAGTACTGTACATTCGTTATCCGGCGCTCTGCCCGCAGTGGAAAGTTTCTGTGCCTTGCAGCGCGGGCGTGCTGCTCGGTTTTTCCACTGTCCAAGGTGCGCCTCAGTCGCTTCGCAGTTTTCCTGACGCTAATTGCAAGCGCCCCAGCCTGTAGCATGTTTCTGCCTGGGTGGTGTACGCCTTTGCGGCCTGAAGGCGACAGCCGTGTTCGGCCTGACCATGGCTATCATCCCGCCTCTTGGATGAAAAGGGGGGGCATTTTGACCACTGCTGTCATGCTATTTTGTGAGCCAGGTTAGTTTATCTGGTAAATCTGAATGAGCGCCCGCGGTATGCATTGGAAGCCTGTCTGCATTTAGCGCAGATTCGCCCAACATGTGTGCATCTTGCCAGTATGCCCGAATTCCGCCATGTACCGTTGCTTACATATGCGCCAACGCATGCCACATCTGAGGTCTATGAGGTGCAGGGCTACAGTCCTGGAAGTTGTCGCCCGATTTTGAATTGAAGCCAGCGAGTTCCCCTCCAAACCAACCGCCTTGTTTCTGCCGCCGCCACCACTTGCACTTCTCGCGGACATGTCACGAAAGCTAGTTGAGCCTGTCTTGAGTTTAGTTTTGTTGCAGCGCAAGGTTTGCATCCGATTTAGATGGTGGGGTCCTGGGCATGGGCAGGTGTCGGGGATCGGTCGGGAGAGCTTGGTGCATCCTGTGCATGTCCAAGTTTGCCGACATCCGAGGCTACTGTGGTTGCTCCTACTTCATTAACGCTGCTAGTCTGGTGCGAATCTTCGCAATTGGAGCTGGGGAAGCTCGACTGCAAGCTATCTTGATTTAGTGCAACTGCACGAACGCACAACTCTTTCTTAAACACATGTGCCATTCTGGCCGAAGCTCGTGGTTGCTGCGGCTCCTGCAATCATGAGCTCAAAGCAACTTCCAGCTGCGCTTTACGCTACCTCGAGCTCGGTTGAAGTCTTGTGCAGGTGGTCTTCACCTCCTGCCTCTCTGCCTTCCGCTGCCTCAAGGGACTTCGTCGAGCACAGTGGGCTAACCTAATGCTTCCTGACCAGCATTTCAGAGGAAACATGGGCTTCGTGTAACCAGGGGCTGCACGCACCAACTACAGACATGCTCTGCCAGGTCGGTACTGCTTCTTGGCCGCATCTTCTGTAGTGTAGAGGCTGTCGCCCTGCGTGCTCGATTTCAGCGATGCCTCTCAAAGGTTTCCCATTCCCTTGACTGTCTACTCTGTCTTCTGGAACACCCCCACGGGTGAGCCGATCCGGCACAGAAAGGAGTGGGGTTGATGTTCTAGCACCGCTGTGACTGTGAGTCGGCGATCCTCGTCGCAGGAGGGCGAGCCGGTGCAATCGGAACTTGCGTTCGATCCCTTTGCTCTGATGGACGAGCAGCCGGAGAGCCGACGCCAGACAGCAGCTGATAGCAAAGCTCCCGATTCCTAGGCAAACGTTGAATCAGCAAGCTGGATTTCCGCACAAAATAAGGATACATGACGGCAGCTTGGATGCCAGAGACTGCAGCCAAACCCGTGGGTGCATATGGCATATGGGCAGCTTGTTGTGTTTCCTCACAAGCGAGGAAGCCTTGCATAGCGAGAGATTTCAATCGATGCTGGTCCGAGGTTACCCTGAAGCCAGAGTTTGCATATGTCCCGCGGAAGCATGGGAATCGCAGCGCTGAGTTCAGCTTAAATTTCTAGATTCAAGGATGTGGATGAGCATGGTCGGTGGAAACCCATGGGGGACCGCATGATAGACGGGCCAAAGCTGCGTGCGCCTCAGTTTCGTGAAGTGCGAGTACTACGTGAGTTGCGTAATGTTGTGTGCTGACGACTCATGGTGCCGCAGGCCGGAATTGAGAAAGGGCGAGCTCTTCAAGTGGCTTGGGTGCAGCTTACTTTTAGACTCTTGCCAGATCGTCCACCTTGCCATGATCCGGACAAGTACAATCAAGTACACGTACAATGCGGCGTTGCCCATGTCAGGCAACCAACGGAAGCCGGGAGCTTAGAGCCCGCTCAAAGATACTGTATGCGTCTTCAGGCTTGAGTAACCGCTTTTCCCCTAATGAACGCCTCTAGTGCGCCGAGTAGACGTGCTTGGCCAAGCCCCTGCACTACCCAAGAAGTGGTGTCCTTGAGGTGATTGGCTGCTGTGGCTTCCCCTGCCTCACTGGTGGCTATCAGGCCAGCATGCTGTGTGCTGCAGGTGGCGCATGGTCAGTATAGCCAAGGCCCTTGTGGTTTTTGTTACTGGTGCCGCCAGTGAGCCCATTAATTTTTCCAACAATGCTCAAGTCTAGGCTGTCAACAACACTTGGGCTCACGTCTGGGGCATCTGCACACCTGCACCGTGCTAAGACGTTCCAGGTCATCTACGTTAGTGATGATGAGGAGGAGCCCCACGAGCCTGCGCTGCAGCCCGGGGCCCTGGAATTCCCCTAAACGAAAAGACACTTGTTTGTCGACTCTTCACTCTTGGATTCCCATGCCCACCTCCAAACCGGCATGCAAAACTTCTAGCGCATGCGGATAGAAGATTCTGCGCTTTTGTGCCTTGCCAAGGCCGTTGGCTTCTCTGGCTTCATTGGATGGTGGTCTCACTCCCCAAGTGCTTGGAGTTGATTCCTTGGATACCAGCCACTCGGCGGCAAAGCATGCTGATCTAACTCTACACGAGACCCACTTCAAGCCCAGGCGCTGAAGAAGCGTTGAAGAACGTGAGGCTCGGTGTCTGTCGCGGTGAATCAGCTTGTTACCAGAGATGCGCAGCCCGAGATATCCGAGGTCCAAACACACAGCAGCCTCCAACAAAACCGCGATGACACGCAGGCGGCGGGTTCTTGGGAGCCTGGCTACGATTACAAGCTCACAATCGAGCTTGGAATTGGGTTGCTACAGTGCTACATAGCATGAGGACTTCAGGTAGATTCCAGGCCAGATCAAAACAGAGAAGGCAAAGCAAGCTGATTGAAGATGTGTCGGCGAATGTGGCATTTCCGGGTGATTTCCAGAGCCGGTTAGTGTTACACAGGTCACGCGGTGAGTCGAATGTGTCAATGAGCGAAGACAAGCCCAACTCTCAGGGGTTTTCGTAAAATGGTGTTCTGGAGATATATGGATCTATGCTTGCTTGGCTGGGTAGCTGTAGTCTAAAAGTGGGAGCTGAGGGCCCGGGCCCGACGGATTCACGCAGTGGCATGGCCCTCGGTGACCATGTCAATTTGTTTTCCACATCTCAGGGATGTTGGTTTCAACTTGAGGCCACCCTGCGGGTAGCTCGCGGGTCTGAGGAGGGCGGGGTGGACTGTGTCGCGCTGCCCTCACATTCGGCTGGGCTGCAGCTACATGCAGCTACAGTCCAAAGCCTCAAACCATTTAAGTATATTTAAGTTTGCGCAATCGCTTCTTTCCATGGTGAAAGCGGTGCAGGAGTCGGGTAGCAGAGCTGGCTCGCCACTTCCAAGATCCGAGCTCGGCATTTGCGGAGCATTCGAAGAGCATGCGCAGCTTCAGAAAGGTCACCAAAGTTCAAAGGTTACCTATAAATTAAAAGGGCACCTTAGGAATCCGTAGAGCAATGTAAGATGTAGACATAAGCTCAGTCAAGGTCCTGTCGGCGGCAGTGTAACCTCGAAGCAGGCGTGCGTCCAGCCTGATGCGTTTTGTTGAAAGGAGCTCTGAACTGCTGTCGTTCTAGTTGCTCGCCTCAAACATTTGACAAGCACCTGCAGGCCGTTCCTTTGCCCCCTGGGCCTGTGGATAGTGGAGTGAGTGTGCTCACTGCAGACCTTGAGAAGCAGGAGACGAACGAACAGAAGCTTTCACTGTGAGCTTGAGCCTGCTTGGGCTCTCAGTGGCAGCCTCTGTGTTTGTCCACGTATAGCTGCAAGCACGCTGAACTGTCTGCAGAACTCGTCGCACTACGGGGTGGGGTGCAACACAAGCTGGCCAGAACCAGATGCAGAGACATGCTGTGTTCCAGTTTAGACATCTTCACGATTTCATTATATTGCCTTTCATGGTGCCCCCTCATGAGGCATGCTGTGAGCACCCGCCTCATAGCATCTTAGCATCCTCCAATAGTTCGCTGCTGATCTTTGTCCGTCGCAGAACCTGCGACGACGTAGGTTGCAAATGCAAACTGCAAACAGCTTCACACGGATCGGATCGATCATATCTCTTGTACATCATGCAAAGACAGATGACTTGAAGGCTCCAGCCGCACGACAGTGTCAAGATTAGCTGTGGAGATGGCATGTAATATGGAGATGGCATGTGATATGCTTGCTGCGGATGCAGACCCCCTGTAACCCTCACAAGCAGATGTGCGTTGAGCATCTGGAGCACGACGACGGCGTGAAAACGCCATAATTTAGAGAAGCTCAGATCCTGCAGGCAAAAGCCTGGTAGGATGAAAGCCTCAAGTGGGCATGGCTTCACTCGCCAAGAAGCCGTGCCACGAAGGAGAGCCAAAATGAACAGGTGGGACAGGAACTTTGGCATTTGCCCTGGATTCGCAGTTCCCCCAATACTGCAGCATCTTATGTGTGTGTAGCTCAGGGGCATCTTTCACCACATTCTTCTGCTGGAGCACCTGCACGTGCAGATTCCTCAGAAGTATGGCTGCCACCAAGCCGCCACAATCTGCAATGAAGATTGAACAGGTGTCCTCACCACTGGCGAGGGGCGGTGGAGGAGGAGGAGGCGCAAGCAACGAGCCGAGCGCCCTCTTGCTTTATTCTCTCCCGGATGTTGTCTACATGGCGAGCTGTGCCGCAAAGATATGCGTTTGGACCTCATTTCTTTCCAGGTGTGCATCCCTTCTCGGCTGTGGAGTCCTTGTTGGTAAGCTCCATCCCAACAGGCGAGAAGAGCTTGACTGTGGATGATTCCGGGTGAGTCCAAGACAACCATGCACTGGGAGTTTAGGCCTTCGGGCTGTAATCACTGTCATCGCTAGCAGCCTGGAAAGTGCGACAAAGCCAGCAATTGCCCATCCCTACTCATCAGTCAGTGGAAGCTCTAGTTTCGGCTGCGCCTCTCAAACCTGGCGCCAGACAATCTACATACTGCGAGCCGAAGTTCGGCTCAGGTCTCAGTTTGCCTGCCAACGCTCCGGCCTGCCACAGCGGTATCACTATGCATCACTTGTAAGGCCAATCCAAACAGGAACGCGCCTCAGATGGCCTAAAAGCCTTGACGGGTCTTGAGCAGGGCCTGACCAATTTACGCGCACCACCCTGCAAGGAAGCGAGCAGAGAGTGCAGCTTCCGGCGCTAGCTGGAGCCTCAAGGTTTGAAGGCCGGCACGGGTAAAGCAGCAGGGCACGCCATTCTGTGCAACTAACGCTTACCTTTTCTCAATCAGCACCATGGTCCATCTCAAGCAAGCTGCCAACATAAGGAATTATTGCAGTTCCCTGGCTGTCGCTATTATCGCACTCATCAGTGTTACTACAGACTATAAGGGGTCCAGATGCAAGCCGCATCGCCATGGCTGAGCGCCTGCGAGTTTCGCTGCCAGCGGGCGCACGCCAGGCGGAAGCACATCTCAGAGATCCTGTCTGAGAGCAAACCCTGTGCTTTCATGCGTAGACGTGCGTGATGAGATTTCGATTTCTGGTTTGTGCCGTTGATAGCTGGGCATGTCCTGCGATCCAGGCACATGCTGTACCACTGAGCCTCCAGACGGCGGTGGTGCACTGGACTGCCGTGGTGCTGGAAGAGCGCCACATGGTCAAACATTCAGACCGACTGAGAGCGCACCCCCAATTCTGACCCAGAATAGTCGCGCGGTTTTGTTCAGGACAGTGTTTGCTCGGAAGGAGGCACAGCAGCAAGGCAAAGAAGGCTGAACGCTTTCCCAGGCACGGTGGAATTGGAAGTTTTCGCCCGACTCCACTCGGAGGAGCTCCAGCCCAGGGTTGTCGGCAAAAGCTCATGTTAGATGCATTCGGCGACTTCGAGGATGCCATCGCTCTGCCCGAAATCCGGCGAATGCAGCTGATGCGGGCCTCCTGCGGTGGAACCTTCGTTCCTTGACGTGGATTGAATAGCAAGCCTCTCGAAGAAGTTAAAAACATGGACATAGCCCGACAAAGGTCGGACGCTTCGCACCACGCCCATTGGCCAGCACATAGAACTTTTGTTTCGGATGTGATGGATGTAGGGGAGTTTGGCATGGCTTTGAGTCATTGGGATGTGGAAATCGCAATAGCTGCAAAACAAAATGCAGCTGAAGCCAGCAAGCCTGAAAGTAGCCCTGGGATGCTCCTGGTATTCTCTTCTGATGGTCTTCCGTGTAAGTCGGCTTGTCCAGTGTGACTTGCTCTGGCCTGCAGACTGCAGAAAGTCGCCTTCCGGCTTAGCCTATGACCTCCATTGACCTCCGCGTTGTGTGCTTCTAACAATTTGAAGCCTGTTCCCGCAAGAGCAGAGACAACGACCAAGTCATGTTTCGGACGTGGCTGTATTGAGTATGCCAAAAGGCAAAGATCCCCGCCTTCGGGCCGTGAAGGCGGCGTCAAAGCCACTGGGCTGAAAATATTGGCCGCGGCCCTTCTCAAAAGAGGTAGCTGCAGATTGATTGGCCAGAGTTCTTTCAGTGCCTTTGCCAGCACCGTTCGCTGCTGGTGCACCCCAGTTTGTGCAGAATGGTTGTGGACTCTGTGGTCTTCTCCTTTAGCAATGCTTCCAGCTGGTTTACGCATAACGAGGCCATGGCCCCAGCGTCGTCATTCAGATGTGCTTTCCAGAGCCCCGAGCTAACTTGGATAGTGAGGTGGAGCTTGTGACGCTCTTGGAAGAGCTCCCGTGCCAGGATTTACAAGGCACACCGGAGTTCAAAAAGCAAGCTGGAACTCCAAACCGTGTCTACTGGGTCTGCTGTGCAAGCTCCAGGCGTGCATGTTGCACCTTCATCGCCTCAAACGATCCGGAAGAAGACGGAGGACAGAGCTGACAATTGCGCGGCCGCTTGAATGATACGACTGCACAGCTTGCAGTGGTCACTCTGACATTTTGCAGGATTACGGAGCATACCCATCGCCCCTCTCTGCGCTGACAGATGTGACAAGCGGGGAAGGAGATGACAGCAAATGGCACTATGATTGGTCTGGTGTTTCAGGCCTTATGCGACATGCTTCGCTTCAGGGATGTTGGGTTTCAGCATGCTGCTGCCGTTTTGTCTGCCAGGTGATGTGGCACATGATTCATCGCCCACACCGTCCACGGAGGTGCGACCTCAAGTACTCTGGCATGCGATGCAGCTGGATTGATTTGCACAGTGGTGCTTCTGTACGATTTCAGGTGCGGAAAGGTTGGTGACTTTATCAGTCCAAGTGCCAACCTATAGAACTCCTGCCAGCTAAGCTTGCCTGATGCAAGCCTGCCTGCATGTAATTACATTCTCAGAGCTCCTCTAGCACATGGAAGCGTTAAGACAAAGTAGTCCGCTGGAACGCTGGAATTCTGGTTGGTTGGGATGAAGAGACAGTCCCTTCTGTGGGTGTGGGTGGGAGTCTCAAGGAATCATGTAGGCCATTTGGAGGTTGTATGCTATGGGGATGTAGCAAGACGTTCACATTGATTAAGCCGGATTATCATCATTCCCGACTAGAGTTTCTGAGGTTTGAGAAACAACATTCGGCATGTTTGGCATGTACGTACACAGAGTCACACTCCAAACGTGACGAGAGTCACGATGATGCTGCCTGCCAGACACCCGCCTGTGACTGTTGGCACTTTTGAAAATGCGAAGGGCTAAACACGACGACAGTTACGGAGATTCCGCGCGTTCATGGCCCTCCCCCCCTCCCAGACCATAACATGGGGGAGGCCGCCTGAACACCAGACGCCTGACCA